GTTTCCGCTGTCCATAGCGTTCCTTGACAGCGTCGTTTCTAAGTCACCAATTTAGTGCTACTTGGTCCCAATGGAATTTCCCATTGGGAACCTGCCCTAACCCCATTGGGAATGTTCTCTAACCTCTCAACTTTAGGATGTCCAACATGGCTGCCATTCTAGCTAATAACTTAAGAATAAAACTGAACTTATAAGAATCTCCCTTTATCTTTCCCCCTACAGGATAAACAGAGTGGGAGTTCTACTGTTCTGGCTGAGAAACCAAAGGCTGAAACCAGCATCACTAAGCCAGAGAGGATGGAGACCAGAGCCTCAGGCAGCAGCCGGGTACACTCTGATTTTTAACTCGTTATTGGTGCAACGCAGGCGTCCCCAAAGTCGGTCCTCCAGGGCCGCTGTCCCTGCAGGTTTTAGATGTTTCCCTGCTCCAGCACAGCTGATTTACATTGATAGTTGATTAACAGGCTTTTGCTGAACTGCAATCATCAGAATCAGCTGTGCTAAAGCTGAAAATCCTGCAGGACAGCGGCCCTCCAGGACCAACTTTGGGGAGGCCCGGTGTAACGGTTCCATTAACCATCCACCAATCTCCTGTTTGTCCTCTCAGCTGTGGTACATACAGCTCGTAACAATGGCGACCATTTCCTGCCTGTCCCCTCAGGGCTCGTCTGGCTTCCCCTCCGTCCTCGAGTCGTCTGAGATTTCCACAGACAACGGCAGAACGAGCCGCTTCCCGCGTCCAGAGCTGGAGATCTCCTTCAGCCCCCTGCAGCCAAACCGGATGGCCCTGCGGCGGCAGGGCGAGGAGGGCGCCGTCACCGTTAAAATCACTCGCTCGGCACGCAAGAGGAAGAGCGGAGAGATGGAGAAGGTAGGAAGAGAACACAGTTCCACTTTATCGCCATTGCACATGTCACAGGTATAAGCAATGAAGCGCAGTCGGCTCCATTAAGGACTTCAGCATAAATGTAGGCAGACTGATCTGGTTATAAACAGGATTTGGAGCAAGGGTTAGAAAGCAGCAGGTAAACAGCTGCAGTTAGGCTGTTAGCTCTTGTGTTACTGTACTTGTGCGTTCTCGTGAAATGTCATCAGCTGCAACACCAGCACTTCCAATTCACTGAAACGAGAACTGACAAAATCCCCGGCTGTTCTCGCTAGAGACTGACATGGAGTGGATTTTCACTCCTGTCCCGTCCCACTCCCACAGAAAGAAATAGTGTCCCGATCCCGGGCCAGAGTAGAAATCTAAATCCTGTCCTGTCCCACTCCTGGTGAAATGACTCCCACTCCCATTCAGAATGACTCCCGCTCCCATTCAGAATGACTCCCGCTCCCATTCAGAATGACTCCCGCTCCCATTCAGAATGACTCCCGCTCCCA